TGATTACCGTCTACTGACTCAACTATCTCATCTTGATCTAAAACGTTTGAGGAATTAGATTTAATAATTGACTTTACTGAACCATCGGGCCTCGCCCTATCAATTACGCGTACGGCTCGCTCCGACCGCACAAAACCAATAACATCCGACGGTAATGTCTCACGACGATCAATTCCACTGATTGAATTGAGACAATCACCCTTCTCAGAGTCATTAACTTCTGTAACTCTCGGCTCACCACACCTGGCATCTCTAACAGTCGACGCTGCAGCAGACTGCCGATCAATTGACCATTCAATAGGTTTCACCCCACACTCATCTTGATTAATGTGAAACCGTATTTTCCTTTTTGTACCCGTAGGTTGATTTATATGTACATGATCGCCATCATCATGATTATTTTCCTTATTGCTATCAGAATAGACGACGTCGCCATCGCCTTTTTCAGAACATGTTAACGTCGACTGCAAACCAGGGTCGTTTGCGCTAACAACTCGTGGTTTACGTACAAGATGAACATGTGATTCTCTTCTATATCATAGTCCCTGAATGAAATTACCTCTGGTGTTTCTTTAGAACTCTTTTCTCCACTATCGATAGGTTCTACGTATGCCTCTGCCATTGTACGTATTCAATATATAAATGTTTTCAATTAAATGAACTTTAATACACAATGCGTAAATAAGAAAAATAACCGATGTACTAAAACAGTCACTTTTTTTAACAACTGCTCAACAACCAATCTGGTAGTGCAGGCCGTGAGATAGTCAAACACCACTGCCACCACTTTGTAGCATATATATATACTTGCTATTTATTACTCAGTGGTCTTTTCAGTGACAAACAAGCACTATTACGGTTATTAAACGTTATTAATACACATATAAATTACAATAAATACGATCTGAAATATTACGTGTTTTAGAGAATTAAGTTAATATTTATTAAGCACGATAGTCCATAAAGATGCACCAATACGTTAATGAAATGAATGTTTATTGGTATGTTTACTATATGAATATATTTTAGTGTCAATGTTCACTTTAATTCAATAGATTGTGATCCAATATTTCATCAACAATGACAACTCTCTTCGGCTAATGGTTCGGCTAATAAATTCGGCTAATTCGTCGACTAATCTGTCGGCTAATTCGTCGGCTAATCTGTCGGCTAATTCTTTGGCTAACAGGGTTGTTTATGATATTAAGTTCGGCTAACCAGCTTCGGCTAACAGGATTATTTATAATGTTCGGCTAACTCTTTCGGCTAGCAGAACAATGTTTATAACAATTAGAATTCAGCAACTTGTTTCGGCTAATCACTTGATTGAGCTACCATGAAGACTTTTTGTGTGCTTCAATAGGCTAACCAAGAATAACATAACCTTAAACCTGGAAATATATAGAATACAATTCGGCTAATTAACACAATTCGGCTAATCAACACAATTCGGCTAATTGCTCTGTTCTACTGAATTGACCCAGAGATTCGGCTAATTTCCCTGATCGGCCGGCTAATGTTGTGGAATTTCCGGCTAAACACCAGGCTAAACTCCAAAACAATCGGCTAATTGTAACCCTAGAACAACCCAATATAGAGGGAGAATGCACCGTCGGCTAATATACCTTTACAAAAGCTCAATAGTCGGCTAAAATGGCTAGCTCGGCTAACTTACCACAAGTCTTGTCAGTGGTTTCCGATTCTTCACGAGAATGGCGGTCGTAACCAGGACACGGACTTATATAGGAATCCAAACCATTGTTTTACGTCATATTCAAACTTCGCGCTTCTATAATGGCAAACTTTTTGCAGAACGGAAATAATCTATATATCACTAGTTTTACTTATTTACTCCAAATTAAAGCTTCAATTATATTCTAATAAATCATTTACCATCCTTGCATTTAATTGCAACATTATCAAATATTCAGAAACAGCTGAACGCTTCTCATAAGTTTTGATTTCGTTTCACCATTAATAATCTACTTCCGGTCAGAGCAGAAGAAACCAATTTTAAAGATTTCTCGGGACATTTTGTAAGTTTTCTCATTTTTATATTTACATTTTTCATGTCATTTACGTATAATTTATCGTTTCTTTACATTACAGGGGTAACTTTGATCACTGATATAAGTTCGATTTATTATATATATCATATCTTATTGTATAAAAGGACTTCAGATTTTCATTCATAAAAATGACGATCCACGATCGTCACACCTTCATGATTTTTGCGGCAATCATGTTTTGGTATTGGAATGCCAAGCATTTGTTGTTTTCTTTTCACCTGATACCAGCATGAACTACATCAATAAATAAACATGTCAGAGCTTGTGTGTCTCAAACTCGCAACCTCTGGTTCTCTGGTAATGGCACCGAATTGCCTGCTTGATGCTGGCGCCTCTGTAGCATATATATACTTGCTATTTTTTACATAGTTGTCTTTTCATTGACAAACAAGCACTATTACCGTGAGTTATTAAACTTTATTAATACACATATAAATTACAATTAATATGATCTGAAATATTACCTGTTATAGAGAATTAAGCACAATAGTCCATTAAGATGCACAAATATGTTAATGAAATGAATTGTTATTGGTAAAAGACCACGTGCAGTATGGCAAGTGATTTTAGATAGTCATATCTTTCACCATGAGTACTTTCTGGGCATAAATACAGTGGTTTTTATTAAAACAATATGTTTTCTTTCAAGTGAAGTACCCATGATGATAATTTTTCGAATTGATAGGGACCCCATGTCAACATTTTTTTCAAAATATTGAACCGTTTTACTCAAAAGAGGATCTCCCTTTTCTGATTTTTATTGCATGAAAAGATTATTCAACAAGGGGTCTAAAACATCTTCAAAAATATAATCGTATTGAAAGTCTAGTTTTGAAGATATCAATTTTCGATGACCAAAATGATGCTGTAAACAATGGATAGCACGAGTTTTTACTATGGGAGAATAACATGGGATCCCCTTTTCAGAAATTGTTCATATAGTGTAGAAGAATCTTTTGATATGTATAACTTAAGAAAAGCAAGATCCTCTTTTTAGAAAAAAGCCTAATATTTTTTAAAAAGTGCCAGAGTGGGGCCCTAATCCATAATTTTCCAGAGAGTTGGATTGATATTTTACTACCATGGAGATTTCAATTGAAAGAAAACATATTGTTTCCCAATGGACCTTTGCTATATGAATATATTTAAGTGTCAATGTTCACTTTAATTCAATAGATTGTGATCCCATATTTCATCAGCAATGACAATTCTCTTGGGCTAATGGTTTCAGCTAATAAATTTTGGCTAGTTCTTCAGCTAACAAGATTCTTTATAATATGAAATTCGACTAGCTGTTTTGGCTAGCAGAACAATGTTTATAACAATTAGAATTCAGCAACTTGTTTCGGCTAATCACTTGATTGAGCTACCATGTGTGCTTCAATATACTAACCAAGAATAACCTGACCTTAAACCTGGAAATATATAGAATACAATTTGGCTAATTAAAACAATACAGCTAATCAAAACAATACAGCTAATCAAAACAATACAGCTAATCAACACAATACGGCTAATGCTCTGTTCTACTGAATTAGAGATTCCGCTAAATTCCCTGATCAGCTAATGTTCTAGCTAAACTCCAAAACAATTGGCTAATTGTTACCCTGGAACAACAAATATATAGAGAGAATGCACCGTCGGCTAATATACCTTTACAATAGCTCAATAATCGACTGAAATGGCTAGCTCGGCTAACTTACCACACGTTTTGTTAGTGGTTTCTGATTCTTCACAAGAATGGCGGTCGTAACCAGGACACAGACTTATACAGAAAACCAAACCATTGTTTGACGTCATATTCAAACTTTGCAGTTCTATACTTAAACTTTTAACAGAACAGAATCAATCCATTTATCACTTGTTCTACTTATTTGCTCCAATTTTAAATCTTCAATTATATTTGATGAATCATTTACCATCCATGCATTTAATTGCAACATTACCAAATATTCAGAAACAGCTGAACTCTTCTCATACGTTTTGATTTTAATAATCCACTTCTGTGTCTGCAGAACAAGCCACATTTAAAGATTTCTAATCTTTATACTACATTCCATATCCTTTACACATAAATTGTTGTTTCTTCACATTACAGGGGTAACATTGATCACTGATATAAGCTCTATGTAATCATATATATTTTATTCTTTTGTATGAAAGGACTTTTCAAATTCTCATGTATAAAAATTGCGATCCCAGATTGTCACATTACTTCTTTATAAGATGTGTCCTCACATCTGTAACATAAAAAAAAAAAATGTATTTTTTAACATATTGACAATTTTCCTTTATTTCACTTACATTAAATTATAATTTTATACATCATCTATTGGAAGACTGTGACCTATCCCACTTTGCCACATTAAGTTTCTTATTATAGTGGACCTTATTATAGTGGACATTGTTTTCAGACCAAGAGTATTTACACCTCCAACCCTCTTCAACCATTCTGAAAGGCAAGTTCACGACCATTTCATATTGCAGTCTGGCCTGACAAGCAATGTCCTTTGTCCTTAAATCACTGTCTACTACATTCTCAACTTCCTCTTCACTTCTACTGTCCTCATCACTACCATTACTGCTATCACTGTCACTACTACTACTATCACTACTTCCACTACTGCTATCACCAGTACCATCACCACTTCCATCGCTACATTCACCGTCACAAGTACCGAAGCCTTTCTAACTGGGTGTGTCAATTGCTTAACTTGCTTGTTCAATTGTTATCTTATAAACTCCCTAAAATGAAGAACAGACTCATAAATTACGAATAATACTTTTCTTTATTCATAACAACACAGTTCAACAGCTTCACAACTACCTTAAATACCTCCATACCTGAAGTACAATAGCCTATCAGGCTTAAGTAGGAGGAGCAATAACTGGCACGTATTGGGTGGAGTGTCATAACACAGGCTTAAACCTATAAACTCTACACAGCCCCCCCCCTCCCCTCAATAAGAACTTCTCCAGAAGTTTAAATATAACTCTCAAAGTTCATAAAAAGTTAAATAAGGAAATAGTAAAGTATGAAAGGCATTGGTTGTCATCTCCTTAAGTCCTATATACAGTTTACATACATATGTTTACAGCTTCTGTGTTGTAAGTTATCACTTTATCCAAATAATTCAGTTTTATGTAGATGCACCTGTATTAAAGATGTCACTACGTATAACATTCATCTAATGTAATTCAGGTAATAGTTAGTTTGCTTGATCCAAATAATTGTTATTCGTGAACTGGTTTCCTTAGCACACAATCGTCCTCATTTTTGAACAACTCAGTGATCTGGAACCCTGGATCCACGATCCTTTGAATGTCCTTATTACTTTCACACTTGATACAAGCTGACGCAATCCTGAGAGGCTGCCTGGGAAGAGCGATATCAGGCATGCTTTTGGGTGGTACAGGTGAAACTGCATCACCCATTGATTCTGTGTCAGAGTCACTATGTGAGTATCCTCCCTTTGGTGAGCTCAGCACACGCATTGACATCCTGCCATCCACCTTGGACAGCACAATGGGCAACATATCTCCACATATCCCAAGATCTATAGGAGGGGATGCCTCACGGTAGGTGCTCGACCCCTCAGGCAGGTACTCTCCAAGGTCAGGCGTGGGGACACTTTACAGCGAGTGTTCAGCCCCTTGCTAGGACTCCTAACACTTGATGGTTGTGAGGACACCTCACAGTGGGTGTTCGGCCCCTGGATGATGATCTTCTTTCTGGCAGGTGGGTGCTTCATACGGTGGGTGATCAGCCCCTGGATGAGGTTCCTCTCTCCGGCAAGTGGGGGCATCTCATGGTAAGTGCTCGGCCACTGGCTGCTGCTTGCATAAAATATTATAATTAAGATGTATTTACCATTTTTGGGGAGTTCATTTTTATTTTCCAAAGAAATCCAAGAGGGCGGCCAAAATTTCTCACTTGCATGTAACCCCTTCCTTTTCACTAAAGTAGTGAATTGTGTAATTAAAGCACAATTTAAGTTCTTTAATTAAACTATGTAGATGAAACTATGGAGATGCTTTAATAAAAATCCAAAGTAAAAGTGAAATGTGAGTACTATATCAAGTTGTTTGGGAATCGAACCCAGCCCAAGGAATGATAAGATCGGCCATTTGTCATTTCCGCGGCAAGTGGGGACATCTCACAGTAGGTGTTTGGCCCCTGGCTGCAGCTTGCATAAAATATTATAATTAAGATGTATTTACCATTTTTGGGGAGTTCATTTTTATTTTCCAAAGAAATCCAAGAGGGCCGCCAAAATTTCTCACTTGCATGTAACCCCTTCCTTTTCACTAAAGTAGTGAATTGTGTAATTAAAGCACAATTTAAGTTCTTTAATTAAACTATGTAGATGAAACTATGGAGATGCTTTAATAAAAATCCAAAGTAAAAGTGAAATGTGAGTACTATATCAAGTTGTTTGGGAATCGAACCCAGCCCAAGGAATGATAAGATCCATGGTGTAAGCCTACACAACTTGCAAGATATTTGTATTATCACATCACATTATTTTTTACTTTCACAACGACATGGGACTTTCAAAATAAGCTAAATAGCATTACATATAATTTGTTGTTGTTGGTGTACACTAAACTTTCAGCTTGATGCATCATCAGAAATAATCATTGGTAGGGGTGTTCCTGAGCCATACGCCATCATTATTATGGCGAGGGCTTTTGTGAATGGATGTTGACCCTTTGAAATGCCTATGGACTTGGAGACTGGATTTTATCTACCCCGCATCATTTGAGACTGAATGCTCTATCTTGTATGAGTACTTGTATCTACAACTATTTTTGAGGTTATGAGTATTGCCTATCAATTGACTTATCAATTTCTAATTTTTTCTTCAACATGTATTGTAATGACTTCAGTATGAATGAAATGTCCCTTGGTCTTCTGGTCTTGGATTTTGATATTGGTTCTTGAATGGTGGGGGAAAAGGGGGTATTAGACATTGTTTCTTTTCACGTTAGATCATGGTTTTGGGCTATATGGGGTTTGTTTTCTTGACTGGTATGCACTTAGAGTTTGCTTTTTCTTGCTAAGTTCCATTACAACTTTTGGTCCTTTCCCTTTGGCACAAGTGCTTATACATTGTCATGTTAAATAGGATTGTCAGAAATCATAGTCGGGTTGGGTATGCCAATGTTAAACAGTATATTATCAGTAGACTTAGTTAAGAAGATACAGAATATAAAGATTAAGATAAATTTTTTTTTTTCCCTTTGTGTTTTCTCAATAAAAACCTTCTTCAGAATATTCTACAATTTCATCGTATTTGCCGTAGTAGGCCCCCGGGTGCTTAAAGTAAGTCAAAACAGTTAAAAAAATTGTCCTTATTAGCGGCCATATGAGTCCCGCCGGAGTTTCATTTTCAGTTTAGAAAAAAATTGGAAGAAAATTTGGGTTCGTGAAATTCGCCACGTTTGCATGGACCGTTGGGTTCATACCTATCCCACTCTTTTTGCTACACTAATGGAATATAAAATATGTACTTACATCAGTATTATACTCGATAAATCTATAGGAAAACGGACTTATACCTGCTGAATCAAATTCGAATTTTTTCTCAGCCTGTTTTGGAACTACATGTCGGGACCGACTATTTTCAACAAATTCAACATACCTAGGCCTAGTCATAAAGTCCCTTATATTTGATACAATTTTATCATAAACAATACACAATGACAATTATTATCGTCCCGGACTCATTGAGTCAACATCACTATCCTCAGATTCAGGATCAGATTCAATGTCACTGTTGTACATATCGCCCTCCACCACAAGGTTGTCCATCAGTTCTTGGCCATTATCTACATCTTTTTGATTGAATCCCTCAAAAGGATCACTGTCCTCGTCACTCTCTTTGAATAAGAGGTCGTCCTCTGTGCCATCCATATCAACAGTAAGGCCGCATTTCTTGAACGCCTTTATGATTATCTCAAAATATGATTAAATAAAAATCTCCATCTAACTTTCTGTTACTAGTGCAAAATGATCGCTCTTAGATAGTAAACAGACCATAAGAGTATTTACGTGTGGGGGGTACACTTTTTTGCATTGATTGAATTTGACACTACCTGTGGGTTTACTGAATCCCAGGTGCTTTTGATCCACCTGAGCAATAACGCTGTTGTAAATCTCCCTGGTAGCTGATTTTACCCCTGGTGTTATATGGGCACGGAAGGAGTCCCACACAAGCAGTCGGCAGGTTGTTGACTGCTTCCGCCATACCAGCTTCAGGTACTGGTTACACACCTCCTCTGTACACCAGCTTTGGGGCGTCATCACCACATGGATACGAAGTGGTATATCCTTGGCTGGACGTTTCTCTTTCAGCAAAACCATGGGTGGTTTTTTTTACCCATCCCCCATGCAAGTTAGCAGCACAGACATCCTAAAATAAATAATGAATCACTTATGCATGTTATATGGTATCACATCCCCCCCCCTTATTTCCGAACCGCCATATGTTTATCTAAAATAGTATCGTGATGACATCTATAATAAGCCTTTGAACTTATTATAGTAAACAAAACTCAGCTGGTTTTTTTCATTGGTGGATCAAGTAAAACTTACTAACCTACTCTTCTCATGCCCAGTAGACGAGACATTGACAGTCTTTGACCCTCTGGTCTCCACCGTAGATTCGCCTGGCAACATATACAGGGGTTTCATCCATGTTCCCAATGTCTCCTGCTTTGTATTTGCCGGCGTAGCCTGTTTATGTAGTGGAGGTAGGAAAAGATTTTGTCATCAAGTTGATCTCGCGTCTTTTGCCCAACATGGGTACTCCTTCTGAAGGAAAGATTCCTTCTTTTCATGAATGAACTGAGCCAGCCACAACTGGCCTTGAATTGTTGGTTCCCACCAGAACGATGAAGCTTCAGGGCAATTTTCCTTATCTTTACACCAGTTACATGACCTCCTGTAAAGCAAAAGAATACATACAGAAATGAGGACCCGGGATTATTAGCTAGGCTAAGGAATTATTAATGATGTTTGTATGGGGCAGGGGTTATATTCGTGGCAGGGGGGAGGTAATTTTTGCATATTTTTGTTTATTATTAAATTAAAAATGAAATTCACAAGATGAATAATGCAAACAAACCTTTTTCTCTTCTTACAATCTCCTGATAAACATTCTCATCAATGTCTTGGTGTTCAACCTTCCTCCCAGCACCACTCATACGTCTCCTTCTCTTACCAAACAGTTTCTTCTTTTGCTTTACCCACTCTCTTACTCTTTTCCTATCTACACCAAACTCCCTACTTGTAGCACTTACACTTTGTGATTTGGCATAGTCAACTAAGTTTAAATTTAATTGTGTAACTTTGGAGTTTTCCACCTTTGTGAGACTGGGAAGTTGCACCTTCCATGACTATCAACTCAATGCCAGTTACAAGTTGAATTTTCCTTTGTTTTTTAAAACCCCGCCTTTTGGGTATCGACCCCAAAACTGACGTGTTTTGACCCTAAAAAACAATAACCTACCTTACAAAAATTAATTAATTACCTGCCTTACCAACTAATTCTTCAATCAATCACATTGATCCGCCCCTCTTCAATAGGTTGTTTTAGTGCATGCGCACATCAGTAGTTTTTCGATGGCAACCAAAAATTGTACAGATTCCACTGTGTAAAATAACGAATATTGCTTGCAGATAACGAGCAATTCTAGTGGTTATTTGCTTCAAATTGCATGTTATAACCAGTAATCATCACTGACAGAACGCAGACAATAACTGCATATATGGAACACACATATATGCAGCTGCATATAACAAACATCCACGGAGAATACTGACTGCATATACGGGTACTGTCACTGAGTATATTTGCTTATATTCAGACATACTTTGCATATTTGCTGTTTACTTGTGATTATATGCAGCGCTGAAACTGCATATACCTGCTTATTTGGGATAGACAATTATAAGTAGTTGAGTATACTAGATATATATAAAAATTAAAACTGATGCATATGATCTGCATATATGCCACTTTTCATGAGTATTTCTGCATATTTTTAGATAAGTAATATGCAGCATGTGAGTATATTGAGACATGCACAAGAATATAAACTAACTACATTAGCATATATAGAGTCAAGATCGGTATATTTGACATATTCTTGCTTATTTAGGAGGACTGTGAGACGCTGTTTTGTGAATTGGGAATAAACATCTGTTAATGTAAATTTCTATTTATGAGCATTTGAGTGTTGTAGCTATAGGTTTGGACTGTACTTGTTTTTGGGGGTTAGAGATTTGAAAAAATTGCACATAAACAGCTTTTACGTTTTTTATAATTTATTTTTAATTTCTTTAGATTTCTATGTACAGAGTAGGCCAATGAGACGACCTCTATAAGTAATAACTTCAAATAGTATACATGTCATGATATAGGGAGAAAATCATTGTTACAACTTATTAGCCCCGTGAAATAATATCGCTTGAAGATGGGAATGTTTTGATCCACCTTTCATATCGCTTGATACATATATAGACATATTTACATTGCACTGTAATTATATTTCTTCCTTTAAATGATACATAATTATTGTAGGCAAAAATATGAATG